GAGTGCTTGTATGTGTTCATGTTTGTTCATTAGTAAGCCTTAGTGTGTGTTCATTAGTGTGTGTCCACGTGAATGTGTGCATTGGTGTTCGTACATGCGATAGCGCGTGCATGTGGTCACGTGTGTGTTCACTCACCAACTTCTGCTACCTGTTTGTTTATGTATACAACAGCAGTGAGAAACCGTTCAAGTCACATTCCCAACAAGAGCAGAGTGCACACGGAATTTTATAAATAAACCTGCAACTTTTCTCGGAAATTACCCCTTCCATCACTTCGGGGGAAAAATATCCAAAAAGATTTGTTTATTTAGTATTCCCCCAATGTATGTATGTTGAACGTCTTTCGCACCGTGCATGGCCAACCCTGCTAATCGGAGGTGTGTGGGGGGGGGGGGGAAATATATATTATGTCTCGGCAGTTTAGTTCAAAAGTGGCATGCGTCATAGCTAAATAAAGTGTATGGCATACCAGTGTGTAAATTATACACACAGTTGGCTGTGTTCTTAAACGGAGAGACCTCTGATGCTTATGCTGTGGCAGAGCCAAATGCAAGCGAAGACGTCGCTTGACGCTGCATCGTGAAAGCATTTCCCAACGAAGCAGCAATCGTTGGGCAAAATATTCCACCTCTTGTGCCCAATGCATCCCGTCGATAAGGATGCCCACGGAAATTCTTACCCACGAATCGCTCACGGCGGTTTTATTTCTAGGCGCCGTTCAGTGACGTCGTGTGGTTTCATTGGTGCAAGATTAACCATCTCGACCGTCGGCTATCTCGCTCTTTCTTTCTCTCTTTCTCTCTCACCGACGTGCTTGTTTGAACGCGTGGCGCGGGTGCTTGCCTCGCTCGCTCGTCAGGACAGCTACGGGGCCCTGGACGCTCCAGTCTCGCCCCTCTCTCTCTCTCCCCTTCTCAGAATCAGAAGATTTGTTGTTGTTGTTGTCAGAAACGTACATTTATCCTGGAGAAATCCGATGAGCTATGAAGCTCTTTGCCACAGATCTTACAATGGGGGGGCGGGTCATAAAGTTACAACAACAAACCATAGATTTAAAAAACACCTATCAGAAGGGAAAGATTAGGAGAGAGAAAATCACTAAAAATAAATACGTAAAATGCCAGGCGTGACAGCTCGGCCTATGACACCATCATGATTATTATTACGACCGAGACACGTTTTAACTGTGCAGGGCTCATTCCGTGGTCGCTATAATGGGTACAGTGCTACTTTGTGGGAAGTTATCAGTTGGTTGTGGTATGGGCGGACTGGGCCCCGCCGTGATGAACAGTGGCTGTGAGCGTGAGCAGCAAGACGCCTTCAGCTGTTGAGATGACCGTGTTTATGCAGTTGAGGTATCACAATAAAAGCAAAGATCCCCCGTATAGCCTTAGAGCGCCACGGTGGCGAAATGTTAACCACCTCGCCAAGTATACAGGAGTTTAACCACGTAGGCTTTCGCGACCAATATTATTCATAATCAACGTTTTTGGGTTAGATCGCGTTATTTATAAATGTGTCGTAACCCTCCACCACCCGACACGGCCAATCAGCAAAAAAGTGTCACGTTGACAAAAGACAAATAGTTCTCTACTTTAGCCCACCGGTGTGTTGAAGCGTGAAACCACGACGTTTACAATTTTTGAGTAGTACGACGTTTCGCTGGTAATTGCATCCAGCATCATCAGGCAATTCGCCAGAATAGTGAGGCTCTGCTCTGTCTCCCGGTCTTAAATAGAGCAGCAGCAGGGTTACGTCATCATTTAACTCATCAGGTGCAACGATTTGTGGCGGAGGGGTTATTGTAATTATATACTAGATTGGTAATCAGGCAATTCATCTTCTTGGTTCTTTCGGTAAAGTCACGTAGAAGGGAAATAATAAAATAATAGAAATAAAACATAATAAAATAATTCTCACGACGTTTCGGCCACAACGCAAGCAGCCGTCCTCAGGTGAAGAACAGGTATGTCGGAAAGACAGCGTCTGAATGGGCACCACCAGGCTTGGCAGCGTATATATGGGCTTTTGCCGGTCCTCCAGTTTTATCCCCTCCGCATTCAGAAACATGCGTTGGCTGCTGTGAATCTCCACACGATCAGCCAACTGCGATGGGCTATCATCTGTGGCCAGGTCGCTTCTGAAAAAAAAGAGCGACAGAGCTCAGTTGGGGCCTGACCTGGTAAAAAAAAAACGCAGTTTGACAAAATACCTTGAGTATTCGACGAACAATCACCAGCAACCCTCGCCATACGGCTGCTCCTCAACCCTGACGAACCATCACACGCGGGCACTCAACCTCACCGACAAACTCGGCACTCTCACGATGCCCCCACCCAGCATTAACCCCCCCCACCCTCCTCCTACTCCTCACCCCAAGAGCCCTCTTCATGTTTTTCTATTTCGCGTTTTTTTTGTTGTTGCTGGGCGAAACCCCCCCCCCCCACCCCCTTGGGCTGCCCATCGACTGCCCCTCGACTGCCCAGCAGCGCGGCCACTCTTGTCACGCCCAGAGGGGGGCAGCAAGGCGGCCACCTGGGGCACGTGGGAGGAAGAATTGGTTGAAATTTCGTGAAATGAGTTCTCTCGCTCGCCGCAGTTCGTGTCTCCTCAACCCCGGAGGCTGCGATTCGAGCCGTCTCCAGGCGATACGATTGCATAACGCACACAGATGACCTTTAAAGCATTGTGTGCGTGTTTGTGTGTGTATATATACACACGCAAACATGTACATTTAAATGGGAGCGGTGGCGCAGTGGTTGACGCAGTGGTTCGTGCACTGTGCGATGTTAACCCGGCGTCCTGAGTTTGATTCCCGGCAGCGACTAACATAATGATGATGATGAGCGTCGGTTCATTCAACTTTAAATGAGCACCCGGTGTGATGTGTAAACATCGGTAGGCACAGGGTACGGGGCCGTCCATAAATTACGTCACGCACCTGGGGGGGGGGGGGGGGGGTGAGAAATGTGACGTCACATCAAAATGCGCAACTTGAAATAAATATAGACAACGCGTTCTACTTGATTAAATATACTTTTGTATAAATGTTTTCTCCTACAACATCAGAGTGTGGCGCCACATTAAATACGCACTACAATGACAATAGTTGAAAGCGATTTGAAGCATGTTTTAATTTTTTTTGTGGGGGGGGGGGGGGGCAGATCTTTGTGACGTCATATTTGAGGGGGGGTCTGACTTTTTGGGGGTCAAAAATCGTCCAAAATCGCGTGACGTCATTTATGGATGGCCCCTATGGATGCGGCTTGGGCGTGGTGGAGACCACAGCATCACACCTTAATAGGCGCTCGCTAACATCACTTGCCCGAACAGTCTACTCAAGGCTATACGGGAGATCTTTGTCTTTCCGTGGCTGCGTGTTTGTGTGTGTGCCAAGCAAGGCTGCGGGGTACTCGATGTGAAATCTCAGCAAATGTCACAGACAGCTCGCTCCGTGGAATCTGCGTGACGTGAATTTATGCGAAACCTTAACAACAATTGGAGCGGACCAGTGGCGCAGTGGTTAGCGCACTCCGCTTTAACACTCTGCTTTCGCTGGGCTCAATGATTGACTCACGGCTAACAACGGTGGTGAACGTGGTGTGAAGCTGTCCTGGGTACCCCCCCCCCCACCACCCATATATGTAGTAGCTACATATGTAGCAGCTACATATGTAGTAGCTACATATGTAGTAGCTACGGGCCTCGCACTTTCAAGGGCCCCGCGCAAATTTTTTTCAAGCTATCAATTCCGGAGCAGTGGTTATGCACTTCCTCTATTACTATAGTACTATACCGCCTTCAACTTTTATGAACGACCGGGCGTTTAAGGTTAGCGATTTGTCGTATTATCTGGCTGTATGGCAAATGAAAAAATACAATTACTTTACTGTGCATGTTAACAATTTGTGTTTTAATATTTACGTGTTTTTTTTATTTAGGGCTCCTTTATAACATATGCTACAGGCCTGCACTAACTTAATCCGGCACTGCCTTCACAAACATGCGCGTGCTTGGTGTGGTATAACCAGTGGCGGCTCCTGCAAAATCTCTCAGGGGGGGCAAATGTCTGGATGATTGATAAGGATAAGGTCCACCCATGCAATGGATAAATTAACAGCTTAAGCATGTAAAGGCAACTTAAATAAAGTGACTCTTACAATACATCTTGTTTGTTTCTATACTCACTATTAAAACAAACCACTCAAGTTTATTTTATTAAAGATTCCACTAGGTGGCGATAAATTATATTGTTGGATGAAACGTGCTTACGTATGATGACGTTAGCACGCATGATGACGTAAGCACGTTAGGGCTTGCCCTCCCGGAAGCCATAGAGAATGCATTGCAGCGCCCCCGTTCGAAAAAAAACATCTTTGAATGTAAGTCTATGGGGCCACTCGGGGCGATTCTCAGCCGGAGTGAAATCGCCCAAAAAGAGGCGGTACTCCACAGAACGTGACATGACGCTGATTGGACTATATCTAGAGGCTGCACAGTGACGGCTAGCGTGACTCTGTGGTTCAATGACATTGGTGGTGCGTCGCCCAATCGCCCTAATGAAGAAACCGCCCCTGGGTATAACCACGTGTCGTAGTGGTGTGGTCATATTACCTACCACGTGGTGGAGTGGTATAACCAGGTGGAGTAGTTGTGTGGTTGTATTACCTGCACCGTGCTGGGGTTTCTATGACCACGTGCAGTGGTGTCGTATTGCTTACCCCATGATGGGGTGATCTTTGTTATGCATTCCTGGGCGTAAGATAACTGGCCCAGAGGAATGCATCACGAAGTCGATATTTTTAATTACGGGTTTAATGACCTCCCTCCCACGGTTCAACCCATAACGCAATGCGCCGACAACATTTTAAGCAGATACCTTTAGTACGAATGAGTTTATTTAGTGGTGTAGTTTCCCACGTGGTGGTGAGGAGTGATGCCGTGGGGTGGTTTCCCACGTGGTGGTGAGGAATAATCCCGTGGTGTGGTTTCTCTGCAGCAGGTGGAACCGCACATCTGGCAGAGAAGGATGGGGATGACGAGGATTGTGATGATGGCGATGATGATGATGGTCGACGTGATGGCTTCAACGGGGGCCTCGGTCCGGACTGGGATGAGGTAACCACCTTGTTATTGCATCGCCTGTTAGCGCTTGAACGATTGGCACAGACTAGTCCCCCCCTCGCCTAAGCCACGAACCTCAGCGATTCGGTGCAATATCACGTTGCCATTCGTGGTCTCGATTCGATTCGAGAGTCTATGAGTTGTTTTCACGTCGAGGTGAGTGTAGTGGCCACTGGCGTGTGCAGGAATCTTGTGAATAATGTTTAGTTTCATCGCGTCGAGTTTTATGTGCCGCGTCTTGGTTCGTGCAAATCGCGGGGTCACAATCGACAAGGAACGACAGGCAAGCCGAAAGACAGTAGTGACCCGCCACTACCAGCAATAGCCGGAGCTCTGCAGTCCTCCATATGTTAAGGTTTTTTCAGTCGATGGTTGAGTGTTTTTTATGCGTGTGGGAGGAAACCGGAGCATTCAGAGACAACCCACGCATGTGTAATGACAATAGAGCCTGCATGCGGTGTGAGTGCACTAGTGGCCACGGGAAGTAATGACAGGGGAGTCAGCCGACAGTACGAGTGGACTAGTGGCCACGGGAGGTATTGAACGGGGAGTCAGTTGTGAGTGCGAAGGGACCGGTGGCTACGGGAATGTTCGAGAAGGGAGCGTGGTCAGGTGACGGAAGAGGATGATAGAGTCTGCCGCTAGAGCGAGCGTCCAGATTCAGAGAGAAGGTTCGGGAAGGGAGACGTGGCCTTGGTTGGTATATAAGGGGGAGATGCGCGGGAGAAACGGGCAGGTGCGGTGGGGATCTCTGCCCGATGTCAAGTGAATGTGTCTTCAGTAAAGTGCCATCTCAAGAGAAGTGTGTCAAGTCGTCATTAGTTATGCAAGGGGGCAACACTCTATCCCATACAGAAGGGACAGTTGATATGGGTCCACACTTTGCTGCCTCCACAGTGGTAGGATTACAGACATGTATAGCCCCCACTTCTCGGCGTACGCTACGTGCAACGTGCACGAATATAGAGGTACAGCAAATGGATTGTTATGCTAGTGTCGTTCCATGCGTTGTCAGGGGGCTGCATAGTATAAAGTCAGGGAGATTTCACACACGTGGCATATATTTTTGAAACCTCAAAATATCACCGCCGGGCTTGTAAGGTGGCAAGGAGGTAGCAGCAGTACAGCAAGTGGGTTCATGAATCTGCCTTTGTAGAACTCTGAGTGTTCACTCCCTCGTACACATGCTGTTTTGTGTCCAGGTTTCTCCACTTTCCTTCTACAAGAAAGCAAAACTTTATTTCATAATTTGGCCAAACATTCCAATCGAGTAGGACTCTAAATGTTTGTGTGTATGTTGAACTTTTTTTGTACCGTACGTATCCAATCGTGCTAATCGGAGGTGAGGGGGAAGGACAACAAAATGAACAGTAAAACGCTGGTTCCAAAGAAATTCGTCTTCAATTTAGAAATGAGTTTTCAATTGAGAATAAAATATTCATACTGTAACTGCTTAGTTACCCAGGAAACTCATTTATGTAGAACTGCTTTTTGTGTTTAGTGTGTTGTCCCTTCCCCGCACCTCCGATTAGCGCGATTGGCTACGTACGGTGCGAAAGCAGTTGAACATACGGCACACACACACACACGTACATTGCATACAATGAGTCTTTATCAGGAGGGTGATGCCGCGTTGAGATGTTTGGCCAACACCGATGATGCTCGGATGTGCTTTTAGCTAATGGGAAGCACCGCAGAGGCCCGAGAAAGCCCACGCGGAACAGGTGAAGAACACGCAAGCTCCACATCATAGCAAGGCACCTGATTCGGCAATCGGACGCATGTCCTTCTTGCAGTGAATGTTGCGCCACCCTGCCGCCCCAGAGTACGGGAGTCTAAAGACTCGTCGAGGCTCTCCTAGGTAAACAAGTGGCATCATCCCGAATGTTAATGTTGATGAGACCGTTACGAACACACTGCCCACATTGCAGTGTCTCTCCATCCCTCCCCGTGAATCCGCCAACGTGACTTCTCATACACAATTCACGATGTTAAACACGATCCGGCGGTTCAGGTTCGCCTTGCTCAGAGGATCGCATTGTGCTTTCCCAGTGCAGCGATGCCGCTCACAGGCCGGCTTGTGTACAAAATAATATTCATCAACAATAACACGAATGTCAGTAGGGGTGGAGCGGTGGCGCAGTGGTTAGCGCATTCTGCTTATGAAACCTAATTTTCGTTCCTGGCCACAGCTGACGTCAGTGGCCGAGAACCACATCCAGCACCGTGGCTAAGTGACTCCGTGTGAGGATGTGACCTCAACTCGTCTCTCCGTGACCCCCAGTGTCTATGAGTCCTTCTGTGTCACCGAGACCTCGTGTGTCTCTGTGCCCCCGTATGTCCCCAATACCCTGTGTGTCCCCAATACCCCGTGTGTCTCTGTGTCCCCGTGTGTCTCTTTAACTCGGTGTGTCTCTGTGTCCCCGTGTGTCTCTGTGTTCCCGTGTGTCCCCGATACCTTGTGTGTCTCTGTGTCCTCTTGTGTCTCTTTAACTCGGTGTGTCTCTGTGTCCCCGTGTGTCTCTGTGTTCCCGTGTGTCCCCGATACCTTGTGTGTCTCTGTGTCCTCTTGTGTTTCTTTAACTCGGTGTGTCTCTGTGTCCCCGTGTGTCTCTGTGTCCCTGTGTGTCCCCAATACCTCGTGTGTCTCTGTGTCCCCATGTGTCTCTGTGTCCCCGTGTGTCTCTTTAACTCGGTTTGTCTCTGTGAGCCCGTGTCCTCCTACTGACTCCTCGTCCACACCCCCCTCCACCCCCCTTGCACAGGTGGGGGAAGTCACGGACAGCGCGTACCTGGGCTCGGAGAGTGCGCCCAGCGAGACGGAGACGCTTCCCGACGAGGAGACGAGCTGTCACCACTCCGGAGCAGCACCAGCAGTGGCAGCAGTGGGAGGTCGCTCCCTCTCCTGTGCAGCTCCTTTTTCTCCGACTGCCGATTCTCTCCTCCTCCTCATCCTCCTCCTCCTCTTTGCCTCCAGACTTCAGACCTTCCTGCTCTCCTCTGCGGATGACGAGTTACGTCCCAGCCACTCTCGGCGTGATTGTCCCCACATCCTTGACCCCTTCCACCCCCGTCCCAGTTGTCGCCCTCCCCCTTCTTCCCTTTGTCGCGTGAATCAGAGATGTTGTGTTACATTAGTCGTTACACACGTACGCACGTACGCACGTAGACACACACGTGTCACACACGCATGCATACACACCAATGCCAACACCCGCCATTTCGCCACTAAGTGATGGTGACAGTCACCACGGCGGCCTGTGCCAGGCCAGGTGCACTTTAAGGCCACGCATACATACATACACACTTACATACATACACACTTACACACGTACACACGTACGCATACATACAAATACACACATCGCCCGTATAGCCTTAACAGACTGTTTGGGCAAATGCTGTTAGTGAGCACCTATGAAGGCCGGCACAGCACAATAGGGGATAGGTAGCCAGCACCACGCCCGGCCGCATTTGTCTCCATAGTGGTGACATTTACACACCACGCCAAGTACTCATTTGAGGATGAGTAGACCTTGGGGAGACCCACGACCGTCACTGGTATTGGCCATGAGCGGGAATCGGAACTCGGGTCAATGGATTCATAGCACACTACCGCTCCCCACATGTACACACACATGTACACAGAAACGTGTAGCCAAATAAAACCGTCTTCCCGTGCGCTGTGACGGTGGTTGAGGCGGCTTGCTGAACACGGCTCAGTCTGCCCAACTCGTGTTTTGTCGTTATTAATTGTTCACTTTGCACATTCCGTTCACGTTTGCTCGAGCTGAACAACGTCTTGATGAGCATTGACAGCACTGAAGAGAAAGTGAAACTCGTGCAAAGTACATCGCGATGGCTTCGCGAGTCATTCGACCAGTCGTGGATATCTCACGGCCTCGTAAATCTAAATAATAGCTATAACAATAATAATTGCACGTATGATTGTTGTCAGGAGGAGCATCCGAAGGATCACAACCGCCGTCCCGGGCACAGTCGTAAGGCGGCGAGCGCCGAGCTCGGAGCCCCCACCGACCTGGGAGACGCCTTCGGCTACCTGCAGATGGTTGGACTCCCGGGGGCAGAGGAGGACGCGGGCCCCGTCCGCGGGGACCGGCCCCGAGACGGTGGAGCGCCCGGGCCCAACGCGACCGCCTCCAGCCACGTCGGTCGCGGCGACCTCCCGCACCGCCACGCGCCGGACGCAGGTTACTTGTCGAGGGCGCCGTCCGCCGCGGCCGATGGCAGCCGCGGGCGCAGCGTGGGGGGCAAGGTGCCGCTCCCCTCTGATGCAAGGCGAGTTTTGTTTTTAAATTTTATTTCTGCGGCGAGGTTTTCATGGTGGCGGTGGTGGTGGTGTCGCGGTCGGCGCTACGCTGCACTACGAACCCGGCGACCCGAGTTCGATTTCCCGCTCACGGCCAACTCTGGTGACGTTTTCTGAACCGGCTCTGGGCATCCCATAGGTCGACTCAGCCTCAATTGAGTACCTGGTGCGGTGTGTAAACATCGCCACTGGGGAGACAAAGGCGGCCGGGCGTGGTGCTAGCCACCCACCCCTTTGTGTGCCGTGCCGGCCTTCATAGGTGCTCGCTATCAGCACTTGCCCCAACAGTGTGTTGAGGCTCAACGGGGGATCTTTGTCTCTGTCTTTGATGGCGGTGCTGTGGCGCGCTCCGCGATCGTCCCGTTCCGGCAGCTCCTCAATTCGACCGGTTCCTCCGTGTCATTCAGTGCTGATTGGTGAAGAGAGACAGGCCCATTCATTATTTACAAAGACTTCTCACTGACTTTAGAAAACCACCGCTATATATAGTGCAAATCGAACTGTTGTTTATTCGGTGAGTTCACCGTGGCGTGAATTTTGTATATTAAATGAATTCGGCCTATTGTATTAACTTGAACGCTTCTCAAGCCACGAGTGGAGGTCACCTTTCGGGGCTGACTCGACAAAATAGTTGGGCACACGCACGCGCGCACACGCGCACACGCACGCGCGAGTGTGTTGTCACAAGCACGGCGATTGTTTGGCGAACAACACCGTGACTTTGGCGTGACCTCGTGGCTGCTGCAGTGACAGCAGACAGCGGCTTTGCAGCTGGAGGGGTTGCCGAAGTGGGGTCACCATGGGGGCTGGGAACGAGTGACCGATCCCAAGCTCCGCTGCCTTTATTGTTCTCTATTTTTTAATTATTACTGAGCTCAGGAGCCCATAGGCCCCCAATAGCGAAGCGGCCAGAAACAAGCAGCGCGATTGAAGTTGTAAGACGTATCAGGCTTAAGGCGTTTCTTGAATGGAGCAAAGTTATTATCGGAGAAAATGATGGGAGGGAATTCCAAAGTGGAGCAGGTCGAGGGAAGAAGCAGAGCAATTTGCATTGTTACCTGCAGTTTGGTGAGTGGGTGGGTGAGTGAGTGGGTGGGTAGGTGAGTGAGTGGGTGAGTGAGTCGGTGAGTGAGTGGGTGGGTGTGTGAGTGGGTGGGTGTGTAAGCGAGTGAGTGAGTGGGTAAGTGAGTGGGTGGGTAAGTATGTGGGTGGGTGACCTGCAGTATGGTGAGTGGCTGTATTGTTGTGACCTGCAGTGTGGTGAGTGGGTGGGTGGGTTGGTGAGTGGGTGGGTGGGTGAATGAGTGGGTGATCTGAAGTGTGGTGAGTCGGTGGGTGGGTAGGTGAGTGAGTGGGCGAGTGAGTCAGTGAGTGGGTGGGCGGGTGAGTGAGTGAGTGGGTGGGTAAGTGAGTGAGTGGGTGAGTGAGCGGGTGAGTGGGTGGGTGAATGCGTGGATGACCTGCAGTGTGGTGAGTGAGTATATTGTTGCGAGCGGTGAGTGGGTGGGTGAATGCGTGGGTGACCTGCAGCGTGGTGAGTGAGTATATTGTTGTGAACTGCAGTGTGATGAGTGGGTGGGAGAGTGAGTCGGTGAGTGAGTGAGTGGGTGAGTGAGTGGGTGAGTGAGTGGGTGGGCGAGTGGGTGAGTGGGTGGGTGAATGCGTGGGAGACCTGCAGTGTGGTGAGTGAGAATATTGTTGCGACCTGCAGTGTGGTGAGTGAGTGGGTAAGTGAGTGGGTGAGTGAATGAGTGGGTAAATGAGTGGATGACCTGCAAGTGTGGTGAGTGAGTGTCTTGTTGTGAGCTGCAGTGTGGTGAGTGAGTGTCTTGTTGTGACCTGCAGTGTGGTGAGTGAGTGTCTTGTTGTGAGCTGCAGTGTGGTGAGTGAGTGAGTGTCTTGTTGTGACCTGCAATGTGGTGAGTGAGTGAGTGTCTTGTTGTGAGCTGCAGTGTGGTTCTATATTTTTATTCTGAGCCGGTCGTGTACTAGAAGCTGTGCCTGAGGAACATCATGTCCATCAGCGCGCGCGTACGTGCGTGTGTCCGTCCAAAGGATTGCGTGGGTATTGGAACACGAGGGGAGCATGTGTTAGAATGCACGCACGCACTCACGCGCATTTTGCGCGCGCGTAGCAGCACGCGATTCTTCGCGCGGTGAAATTGGTTTAGCCATGTTTGTTTGTTGTAGTACAGAGTTAGACTGATGGCCTTAATCTAAGTTGTCTTGTTGTTGTTGTTTGACTTGCATCCCACTGGGATTTTTGCACACAGCGTTAGTGTACGGTGTTTTTTTTCGGCAATATTTTGCTGTCTTTTCTTGGATTTTCTGTTTGCACTCTATTCACTTTAATTTGTTTTTTGTTCATGTTTTTGTTTTTTGTTTGTTGCGGTTGCACCCGATTTAAGAGCCGAATGGCTCACAGGGCTATACCTAATAAATTAACTTGAACTTGAAATCCCGTAGCACAACGGAGCCTCCCTTAATAGGCTGGCTTGTCAGCTTGTCACCTCCTCCACGCCGCCTTCACGAGCGAGCGTGCCCGAGATTAATCGGGATTTCGCCGACCAGAGCCGTCGGTGATCGGATTTCAGGCGCGTGACCAACACACGCTGAGCCCGTGACGGTGACAGGGGCAAGAAACACAGGCGGGATTCAACGTGGAGAGTGGTGGCGCAGCGGTGAGCGCACCGCGCCATGAACCCCGGCGAGCCGAGGCTTTACGATTGTAGGTCACCGTGAACAAACATAATTGAAGAGGGATACCTGGACCGGTCCTGGTGAAGTATGGTCATACAACTTCCAGCAGTGGGCTGCATGTTCTGTACTTATGTGTTTTGTATTGCACGTGTCGACATCACAACCTGTGCTGTGCGGTTTCTTTGCATACATTCTCACCGACGGCTCCTTAAACATAACGATCGAATTTAGTTTCTCTCTCTTTATATCTCCATTGTACAACCAGTGGTCATGTCACGTAGCACGAAGACACGTCCATTTGAAACAATCGCAGTGAGCAGTGCACTACCTTGTCGTAAGGAATGGCCCCAGAAGATGGCTGCGGACCCTGAAAGAACTACTTCTTACGTTACTTTCATCAGCCACTAAATTCACAAGGTTAACGCGAAGGGCGTTCGTGGAATTGTGAAAATCCTACATGCTCTCTTTCTGAGTGCTTCTGAGACTCAGATTTGAGGCCAGCATCTCAGCGGTCCTGAGTCGGCGTCCCTGACGCACCCCCACCATGAACCTCCATGGGCAACCCAGCCCCCGGTGGCTCTGAGGTCGAACGGAATGACTCCGCACGGTGATCCGTGACATTACACATAGCCTCACTGCACCAGACGGCTTGGTTGCTACGCAGACGGATGACCACCTGGGAGGCTTGCCAGGCATTGGCGGCACGGTGCTGAACGATTGCCAGGAGCTAGGATCGTTGGAGCATCACCCCTTTCGCATGAATGGCTTTTCCCCCCGGGGTTCTTTAGTTTACTCGCATGTGAAGCCAAACGCAATCGTGAATGGAATTTGACCAAATATCCCAATGTAGGAGGACCCTCCTGAAACAAAACAAAAAAATTATTTAGACTTGACGAGGTTTTCCTGTTGATTTGAAGCTTTCGTGACTGCCGGAATCCATACTTTTTGGTTCTTTCGGTAAAGTCACATAGGTAGAAAAGAAAAATAAATAATAAAAATAATAATAGTATTTCTACTATTATTATAACACAAGCGTCCGTCATCATCAGGTGGGACGGACTTTACCGAAAGAACCAAAGAGTATGAGGTTTTCTTGGGTAAATAATTGTATTTATTATGATTATAACTAAAGCGAAACCAGCCTATGAGTGAATGAAATGCATTATCGTAGCGAACATATTCATCTCTGGAAATCGCTGAGCTTACAAACGAAAAAACCTTTCTATTTATTTCAGTCAATTGGCCGAACCCACGGGCAGCAGCGATCGCCGCCAGCGAGACGCTACGGGAGATTTGGGCAAAGGAGAGGAGTCTCGGAGAGCCGTCGGTCGCGGTGACCCCCCGGAGGCCGGGTTCGAGTCTGGGTCCCGGAACTCGCACCTTATTGGCGATGGAGGTCAGCCGCGGACGTCCGGCAGAGGACGGCACCTGGACGGTGCCCAGGACGGAGGCGCCAGCGCCATAGGGGTGGAACGAACCTTCGTGGCGGGAGACAACTGGACTGGCGTCGGCGACTTTTCTGAAGTTGGCGCGGGGACTGCACCCTCTGAAACACGCGGTCTCAATCACTCAAGCGACCACCACCGCCATGACCACCACGCGGTGCTGGGGCATCGCGAGGAGGACCAAGGGTGGGGGAGGCCCAACAGGACCGGCCCGGAGCCGAAACCGGCGGTGAACGGAGTGGAGGAGTTTGAGGATAGCGGCGACGGTGAGGAGGCGACGGCGGCGGCGGTGAGGGCACCTCGGAGACACGACCTCTCCGCCAGCGACACCTGGTCGCTCCGGGCGCCGTCCTACGGCTCGCGGTTCTCCACCTCCAGCCCGGCCAGGTGAGAGGCATGGAGAGAGAGAGCGAGAGAGCGCCGCGCCGATTGTGCCACCGCGCTACGCCGAGACACTTTGGCTGCTCGCGACGGATGTGACGAATTATTAATCGATGGATGCTAACGAGCAAAATTCTACGCGCGTATAATTTTGCGCGTTAGCATCCGTAGGTTACAATGAATGGTTTGTGCACGGTTTGTTTTTGGGCACACCTCAAATGAGTACCTGGTGCGGTGTGTCAACTTCGCCACTGGGGAGACAAAGGTGGTCGGGCGTGTCGCTGGCCACCAATCCCTACGTGTACTGTGCTGGCCTTCATAGGACGTTCGTGAACAGCACTTGCCCCATTAGTCTGTTAAGGCTATATGGGGGATCTTTGTCTGATTGCACACCTGCGATGCAGCGCTTTGGAGGAAAGGGTTGACGGATTACATAGAGATTTGCAAACCTCCAAAACCCGCTGGGTTTCAAGGTAGCTGGGAGATGTCATCGTCAATATGATGCACACTCGATGATGTGCATCATATTGGTCTCTTTGTGAGTCTCGTGGTCTCTATGTGAGTCTATTACTGTCTATGTGAGTCTCGTGGTGTCTATGTGAGTCTCCACCGAATGGGTTGAGTCTCGCTCTGGCACACCAAGTATGCCACAAATCTCCCCTAATGCATTCGGCGATAGGATGGACGGCTTATATCCACCATCATCAGCCATCGCCAGCCATCATCACCACCATCACTGCTCATCACAAGCGAACGATCGAACGGCGGCCCCCCGTTGTCTCCCCAGCGCGGGGGAGCCGGGCGGGAGGGAGGAGGCGAGGGGCGAGGATGGCGACGTCGGCGGCGAGGGCTCCTACTGCCTCTGCTGCCGACAGAGGATCGCTCGGCTCAAGGAGCTCGATAGGAGACTCACCCAGCTGCACCTCACCGGGTGAGAGGGCGAGAGAGAGACTGAGGAGTGGGCCGTGGCTCGGCCATCTCCAAGCGACGCGCAAGGCCGTTCCAGACGCGCGCTCTCGGGGTCTAATCCCGGAGCGGATTTCAGAAAGGGCGATCAAGGGGAATGTGTCGTGGGGGGGGCGGTGATGCGGAGGGGGGCTTTAGAAGGCTTGGTCAGCGCTCCGGTGAGATTTGTTCCTGCGAGGCGGGTGAGAGCCCTTAATGTTTTCACCCTTTGGAAGTAGACACCCAGCTACTGCTGCTTACTGACTGTTGCTCACGGGTTTACTACCGACACAGTTTACGCCAATTCACGTTTTGTTTGTTTGTTTTCAGACCGAGGCGGAGGATATCCACGAAAGCGTTTGCGAGGTAAATGACAATTTGTTTATTTTTTTACAGCTTATTTTATTGAAAAAAAATTAACCCGTAAAAACTAAGTTTTTCACTATAAATCCTTTATATGCGTGGCGGCAAGAGTCCTCTCGTCCTCTGGCTTGAGATGGCTGCCACCTATGGGTCAGATGATTGCCTGCCATCATTAAGCAATTGGTAATTAAATATAATTTTATTTTTCCTAAAAAGGGTAAAATTTTGGAAAATAATTTTCACGAAAATAAATTGTCACGCACAACGAGTCTGTGTGCAAAATGTCAGCTCCATTGGATCACGGGAAGTGGGTTAAAACACGACCGAAAGATTTGCACGGTCGTAAGCGCGCAAGCAAGCAAGCAAGTGAACTTAATATAAAGGATTTAAAAAGGAAACGCACCAAGGGTGTCGAGTCAAATGTGAGCAGATGGCTTGTTTGTGAGCATGGCTCCCGACCCCAACCCCCGTAACCCGCACCAGGATGGGAATCTCGCGGTGTTGTTCACCCTGCGGCGCTGAGTACACTCGCCCACCGCACGAGGACGCTGTGAGCTATTCCACCTCGTCATCGCGTCACCGAAATGTTTTTATTTTATCAGGTAAAGGCCCACTGAGCCACACACTGTCGCTGTTGTTTTTTTTTTGTCAAACGCGACCTGGCTATCACAAATGATAGCTCAACCAAGTGACTCATCGCCCACGTGGATATTTATAGCAGCAGCAGCAGCAGCCGAATACTGTAAACGCGTGTTGATTCTGCATGTGGGAGGAGACTATCAACACGCAGCTATTTTTACTTTTACCAGGTGTACGGCCCACTGAGGTACGTAGATATTTTACTGGTAGGAACCTCCTGGTTACACCAGCCCACAGGGGATTATTGTGTCCGTCCGTCCGTCGTGCAGGGAGGGGCTGGGTGGGGAGGGGTGGGGAGGGGCTTGTTACCCCGTGGTGCCCTTATAAAACTCAACGTTTAACCTACTCACGCCGGCTTGTGCCCACCCTCACAGTCGGGCATATTTGCGGAATTCACCACGCCGCCGTTGACCCTGGCCATTGACCGAGCAACCCAACGTTCCTACCAGCTCCCTCCGCAGGAATGTGTTTTTATAAGCGACCTGACCTATCACAATTGATAGCTCAAAGAAGTGGATTGTCGTCATGTGAAAATGTAATGCAACCAAATACAATAAAACCTTGGATTGCGAGCATAATTCGTTCCGAAAACGTGTTTGTAATCCAAAGCACTCGTATATAAAAGCACTAGTATATCAGTTGTGATCACATGACGCTCGGCAAACAAAGCGTATACACGTACTACTCGTATTGCAAGACCTCGCTCGGTTTATCAAATTTATATTTATTTAAAAAATTTGCTCGTCTTGCAAAACACTCGCAGACCAAGTTACTCGCAATCCAAGGTTTTACTGGACCCTTAAACGCGCAATGTTGATTCCAAATTTGGAGGGAAAAACCGGAGGACCCAGAGACAAATCCACACGACCACAGGGAGAGAGACACCGCAGACTCCAAATATACAGCAGCAGGCAGTCAGGGTCGGGATCGAATCCGCAACCTCCTGTATACCAGGCGAGGTAGTTAACATCGCACCACCGTGGTGATGCTTCACAGCATAGACGCGAATCACTGCGCTACTGCTCCACCCAAGAGGCAAGGCTGTACACGAGCGAGCCAGTGTTGGAAACTCCACATTCGCATGGCGAGGACGAGTCTCGCCATACAATGGATGAATGAAACCAGCGTTGGTATTAGATGATCTTTGGGTAAGATCGCGTATATATATTAATGTGTCGTTAAACCCGCCACCACCCGATACAGCCAATTAATCAGGGTTGTCCCGTAAACAGAATCATGCCAATTATGTACTAGTACAGCACACCGGCGTGTTGGACAGCAAAGCCACAACATTTACAGTTGTGGCTTGGCTCTCCAACACACAACCGGTGTGCTGTACTAGTAACGAATTAGCCACGGTCTGTTTACGTGACAACCCTTACTAGTTGTCTGTGTCGGGTGATGGCGGGTTTATATATTGACGCGATCTAACCCAAAAAAAACCTGTATCATGGATGATATTGGTGGATGATTTTGGTCGCGAAAACAGCCAAAAGTCGCTGACTCGCTGCAGTACCGCGACTCGCCCAGAGAGGGCCTCTCACGGGCCACGGGGCTCCGCATGCCCTCCCCATCGCCATCCTCCCTCCCCCATCACCACCACCATCATCATCATCCTCCTCCCCCTCCACCACCCCCCGTCGTCTCCGCCACACCTCAGCGGCCGAGGCTGCGATGCCCAGCGCCGGGAGCAGGGAGAACAGAGGGGCCGGGGGAGCCGGCGACACGGGCAGGGAGAGGACGGGCAGTGGCCTCGTGGTGCCGCGGATGGGATGAAACAAAGACGGCCTTGCCTCTGCTGATCAGCTCCTTATCACGTACATACACACACACACATATAGATACACACACACACATATATGCAGACACACACATGCATACACACACATGCACACATACACATATATGCAGACACACACACATATATGCAGACACACAGACACGCATACACACACATGCACACATATATGCAGACAGACACACACGCACACACATTTACAGACCCACATTTACAGACACACATACAGAAACACAGACACATGAACGCACATATATATAGACACACAGACAGAAAACACATACACACCCATACAGAAACACGCACGCACACACACACGCACACACACGCACACACACACACATACAGAAACACACGCACGCACATACACGCGCGCTGGCGCGGTGCTCTCAGTACAGGATGACTGCTGTGGTTTATGCCTTTGCCAGAGCCGTGAGCACTTAAGCAATTAGACGGGCTAGGGCCGTGGTGATGCGCGTTCGAGCTGGGATACCCCCCTGGGTAACGACGGCGATCCGAAGGGGGTTGATGGGTGGGTGGGTTGGGGGGACAGCGCATCTCAGGTTGAGAGGCGTGGGATTTTGGTTAGGGCTGTTGGGTCTGGGCAGGGAGGGGGGGGGGCTGTGGTTGAGGTCTCCGCCTTGGCTTTTGTTCCGTGCACAAAGTGGCTCTTGGGGGGCTACTGCGTGAGAACACGGGGGAGGGATCTGATTGAGCCGTGCGTGATCGCTGTGTCGGATCGACTGCATGAGAAGATGCGATGGTTCGGCTACGCGTGTGGTTTAGTGGTGTGTGTGTGTGTGTGATGGTGTATGTGATGGTTGCGGTGTGTAAAACATCACCGGGGGAGACATAGGCGGCCGGGCGTGCTGGTGGTCACCCACCCCCTTCATAGGCGCTACTCGCTAACAGCACTTGCCCCAGCAGTCTTTGTCTTTGATGGTGTTGCTTCTGACTGCCACTGTTAACGACTGTTTTTCAAACAGCGTAGCCTGGCTTCTTCACGAACCGATGAGTGCGACGCGATTCCCTTTTTTTTCTATGGCGAACGCTCCTGCACATCGGACCCCTTCGCTTCGTAGCAACAAAGCGAAACCAGCCAGCAACATCGTCACTTCCCGGCATCGACGGGGCAACATTGTCGCCCGTTTCTTTCACGACGTGCGGATCTGACCCAGGCGTCCCGAAGACTTTTGCGCCGCTGACCTTTGGCTCATGCCCCCGGCGACGCTGCCACACGTTCTCTCGTTGTCTTCTCCGTGCAGGCGTCTGCTGCCCGGGGGACACAGGAAGTCGGCGAGCTGCAGCAATCAGGAGGACTTCTTTGGGGAAAGCCCAGACACGGGGAGTGAAGTCAACCAAAGGGTGAGTGGAGTGATCAGCGGCGGCGGCAGCAGCAGCATCGTCACTATCGTCACCACTGTGTGGGACTCAAGATTCCATTTCCATTCTTGCGCATGGTGGCACTGTGGTTCGGGAGATAAATGCCAATGTGGAGGTCTGCTGCTGCTGCTGGCTACGACGAGAGGGCTTCAGGAGTTCGTGTCGATTTTGCCGTTCCTTCTCGGTTGACGGGGCGCAGACAGCAGCGGTTTACTAAAGGGTCCCACGGTGGCGAGATGTTAACTACCTCGCCTGGAATATAGGAGGTTGTGGGTTCGATCTCGACCCTGACGCCTGCTGTATATTTGGAGCTTGCGTGTCTCTCCGTGGTCGCGTGGATTTCTCTCTGGGCCCTCCGGTTTTTCCCTTCACATTTAGAATCTACGTGAGTTTAGATTATTTGGCCACTGTTAATGTCCACAAGAGCCACTTAGTTGAGCTATCATTTGTGGCCAGGTTGCTTCTAAAAAAGAGCTACATAGCTCAGTGGGCCTTACCTGGTAAAAAAAACATGTATATTTTAGTTTAGTTTACATGGTCCATAGTTTTGGACTCGGTTTTACATCTCGACAGCCCATGGTCAGCCACACGAGCATGTGGGCACCAGCTATGCACCAGGCTCAACATGCTGGTGTGGTGGCTATGAACGTCTTGGCACCGTGATGTGGCACCGACTTGGTGTGCGTGCCACCGCTACCACGTGGGACTGCGGAGCCACGCAGCAAAGAGCCGTCCCTCCGTGTTGTTGAGGGTTGTCCCCTTGTGACGGACAGACGGGGAAAGTGAGAATTCCGATTGGACTGGATGGAGTTTGTGATGACCAAGTGGTCACGTGGCTCGGATGAAAAAGGCCTTTGATGGCAAACTTAAGAAGAAGAAGTCACTGTCATTAACACCACCACCAACACCACCACGACTTCATACCATCGTTACGTTGTCGAACCGAATCACCCTGATGCACCCAATCACGTCAGGTCTCGCAAGCTAAGTAGGTTGGAGCCTGGATTTTGCTCGGAAGGGCGACCACCGTGTGCGCTAAAGGCCGCCGCAAGGGCCCAAGCTGTGGGCTTGTAGGGCAGGGTGCAGCGAAATCCATCGCGTTAAGTTTTTATATTCTCCCCACATTCAGCGGTGGCAAACTTGATCTCGTGTACCGGGTGCAGACATATTTTCCGGGTGACTGGTAGACTGGAGCAAGCGGGCGCGTGACCAGCAGCTGCCACTGGACGTGGTGTGCCGGGAACCCGGGCAGACCCCGTCTGATATACGATCCCTGCTCGCTTCCCCGCGTTGCGCAGATGAGCTTGCTGGAGAGCAAGGTGCTGGAGCTGGAGAGCGACTCGGTCATCACGTGCGACCTGCAGACGCAGATCAAGCAAGAGAACACGACTCTCATCCACAGGTAAGGAAGGGGCGGTTAAGCACAGAGAGACGGAACGCAAAGATCACTTGTAAAGGCCTACACAGGCTGTTGGGGCGAGCGCCTACGAGGGGGCCTGCATGACACGCGGTGGTGGTGGTGCGGGGGGAGGCGGGGCGGGATGATTTTCCAGCATGTGCCTTGACCGCCCCTCCTCTCCCCGGCACTGACGTACGTACGTCGTGGCGGGCACGCGTTCGAGGATGAGTTGACCTCGTGGCGAGAAGAGATGACGCTGTTGCGTTGGTTGTCGTGGCCGTGCCGTGTCACCTCTGTGACTCACGTGGGTTCGTGTCGGGCAGCGCGTGCTCTTGAACTACGTGGGACACGGGCGGCGGTGGCCGGCAACTTGGTGTGAAATTGAGAGAACGTGAAGCAGCTCCGTCGAGCTCTTGAAGAAGCTGCAAGTGTGGGAAGCGAAACGTCGGACATCGAGTGCTCAGTTAAGATGTATTTACCCGGGAGAGTTCTGCTCGGTCTCGGGAGCGACGATCGTTAAGAATTTTCCCAATTCGGAAAATTTTCCGGCCTAGGTTTTTTTTTGTAAGTAGGAACCTTGACACCGCCGGCACAAAGTGGCCTCCTCTCTTCCGAAAACCACATCACGGGCTCTCGAACGCCCACTGCAAAAGCACGTTTTCAGATAGATTTAGATAGATTATATATTTATCTACGGGCCTCCTTTCTGCCAGTATCAAGATGATGGCAATGACAGATCATTACTTATTTCACCAGGAAGGACACAATAACCCGCTGGGCTCTATTCCGTGGGAGTCCAGCGACGCTGCACACGTGAAACAGTGCGGATGTTAGTGACAACTGTGGTTACGTTGGTCGCGATATTTACGGGTTGGTACACCTGCAACTACGGCAAGTCTTCGCCCAACGCGGGGGTTGCGTTCCTGTAAATCGCCGCGTGAAGTGAATCCGCGTTGAGCGGGGAGTGATTTTCCCGTGAGTAATAATGGTGAAGGTGGGGGGGGGGTTGCCATTCCAGCTCGTAATTTTATTTTCGTTTCAATTTGACAGAACGGTACACTGTTTTGCATGTTACTTTTTAACTGTGTTGTGTTTATACGGTATTTCTATTCATATGCTACGGTCGTTTATTTAAGTATAAAGTGTTTGAGAGAGAGATGTGGCGAGTGATAGAGATGAGGGAGTGAGATGACGTTACGCACACAAAGATGCTGCCAGAACACAGACTGGGGAAGAGGAAGATACTCCGTGTATCACAGCGCGCATCAGGACTAAAGTACTGCAGTGCCAGCTCCCAGCATCAACGAACAACGCTGCCAACACCCACGCCGCTCAAAAAAGTTGTCCATCACATGCTAGACTCGTATTGTAGTGAGTAGTCCGTCACATGCTAGACTCGTATTGTAGTGAGTAGTCCGTCACGCGCTAGACTCACGGTATAGTGAGTAGTTCGTCACGCGCTAGAATCGCGTTGTAGTGAGTAGTCCGTCACGCGCTATACTCACTGTATAGCGGGCGCGGTGCCTGTCAGGCGAAAAAATTCCATAAAATAAAAAACGCGTTCAAGCGATAAAGCATAGCGTATTGAACGGGGATGTACCATATTAACCAGGGCGGCCGCAGAGCTTGAACCGCGAACCTCCGCGACAAAGCTTCAACGGCGCTACCGCCCTGTACGAGTCGCCGCGGCACACCTCGAACACGCGGTCGGAGAGCGTCGGGAGAAGAACGTCTTTTTTGTTGCGTAGGTTGCGGCGGGTCCCCTCTAGCGGTGTGCGCGCCCCCGTTGCTCGCGTGCATGCGCAGGATAAACGAGCTGGAGGATCGTCTGCGGGAGACGGAGGTCCGCTCGGAGCTGCGTTCGCACGAGGTGTCACAACGCCACCAGGAGGTGCTCGCCAGGGTGGAGCGCCACAAGCTGTCGGAGCTGGAGGCACTGCGGGCGCGGTGCGTGGCTCGCTCGCTCACTCACTCGCTCGCTAACTCATCCTCACCGCTGTCCTATGCTACAGCAGTTGAAGACAATAATGATGAGGATGATGATGATGATTCACTATTTCACGATCTCGCTCACCCTCCTTCCCCGGCACCTCTGATGAGCACGGTTGGCTACGTAGAGTGCGAAAGAAGTTCAACATGCATATATACATCGTCCTTCCAGGCTAAGGCAGTCGTTGAGGATGATGGCACACTCCCTCTCTCGCTCACCCTTACGCTAAGCCTACAGCAGCTGACAATGATGGTGACTCACGCACTGACTCAGCCTCGCCCTCGCCTTGCTACCCCAGGCTGCTGCAGGTGGAAGAAGAGGGTTCTGCTCTGAAGGCGACCGTCGCACATCTGAAAACACTGGCACACAGACTGACGGAGGTGAGCACGCACTCACGCACGCACGCAAGTTCACACACGTGACCACATGCACGCACTATCGCATGTACGAACACCAATGCACACATTCACATGAACACACACACTAAGGCTTACTAATGAACAAACATGAACACATATACAAGCACTCATACAAAAAGACAAAGGTCCCCTGTATAGCCTTAACAAACTGTTCGGGCAAGTGCTGTTCGCGAGCACACATGAAAGCCAGCACGGCACACGAGCGGGTGGATGGCCAGCACCACTCCCAACCGCCTTTGTCTCTCAAAAAAAATGTTTATACATTGCACCAGGTACTCATTTGAGGCTGAGTCGACCTAGGGGTGGCCCACGGACCGGTTCAGATAATCGTCACCGGCATTTGCCATGAGCGGAAATCGAACTCAGGTCGCTGAGTTCGTAGCACAGCATGCTAACCGCTTCACTACCGCTCCCCCCACACACACTCACATGCAATTATGCACATGCACACATGTGCTCACGTGCACACTCGCACTCACTCGTACGCACTCATGCACGTACACATAAGTGAGCACAGCCTGGCCTGAACACACCAAATGCTCTTCTTGCTCCGTGCAGGAGAAGGAGGCACTGGCGGAGCGGCTGGAGGAGTCCGTGTGCCGTCTGTCCGAGGAGGTGACGCTCAGCCGCACGCTCACCGACAAACTGCGGCAGGACGAGCAGCGCTTCCAGCACGAGCACGTGGCCACACACGAGGCACGCAGCGCACCATTTGGGCACGGGCATCAGTAGGGCACAGACACCAGTAGGGCACGGGCAACGGTAGGGTGCATGCAGCGGTAGGGTGCGGAAACCAGTAGGGTGCCAGTAGGGCACGGGCACCAGTAGGGCATGGGCACAGGTATGGGTCAAGGATAGGGTTCAAGTCAGAGGAAGGTTCGTGACAAAAATGTAAGAATATGGGTCTGGGTGAAGATCAGGGCTAAGGTCAGTGTTTGGGTTGAGATCAGAGTTATGGTCAGATTCATATTTACGGCTAAAATCATGTTCCCTATTGAGATCTGGGTTTGAAGTCAGGTTTGGGTCTGGGTTAAGGTGAGCATCCAGGGTGAAGATCAGGAGGGTTAGGGTCAGGATTACGGCGAGCATCAAAGGGAGAGTCGTAAGGTTAGAGTTAGAACCATCGTTATCATGAGGATCAGCGTCAGCGTAAGGATTCGGAGGGTTGAGCATTAATGGCAAGGTTAACTGGGACACACGTGGCGGAGCGAGTTTCGCCCATCGCAGCTGTTATCCAAAGCGACGAGTGACCGCGCGCCAGAGGTCGCAACCAGGTACCCGATACCCATACCCTACCCGATACCCGGCTACCCGTACCCGGCCTGGTACGGGTAGCCGTTTGCAACCCTGGTGCGGCTGGGTACGGGTACGGGTAAGGAATCAAAACCCGTTTGCGACCTCTGCCGCGCGTGCGCGTTCTCGACGCAACAGCCGCACGCGCTGACGACGCACGCCCACTCGCGCGTCTCACCCCGCTCGTGCCCGCGTCCGCGCAGCTGATCGAGGAGCTGCGGCGGGAGCTGGAGGGGCTGCAGTTGCTGCGGCTGGAGGCGGAGCGGGGCCCGGCGCTGGGAGGAGCGCGCAGGAGGCTCGGATCCAGCACGGGCCTGCAGGAGTACCAGGCGCGCACCCGCGAGGTGGAGCTGGAACACGAAGTACGGCGCCTTCGGCAGGTGAGACCCCCGCCGGCGATGGGATTCCTCGCCTGGCATGGCCACCCTCTCACACCACTGCCTACGTCGTCACCAACTCGACCGCCAACCCACGCTGTCGCCCACCTCAACTCTCATCCACCCTCTCACCCACTCGCTCACCCACGTACTCTCTCACACACCCACTCATCTACCTTATCACCCACCCTGTCATCCACTAGACCACCTACCCACCTTATCAACCCACCAAACTGCCCATACACTTACCCACACGCCTTGCCACCAAAACACGTCTTACCTCCGAGCTACTGAACGTGCCTCTTACCCGCCAAACTACCTACCATGTCACTCGCTCAACTTCCCATCCTGATAAATTAACCACCCTCTCACCCACTAAATTGCCTACAACACTCTCACCCACTCACTCATTCACCAGCCCACCCCCTCACCCAACCTCCAATTGTTCCCTGACTCAATCACACAAACACCAACACACTCATTGGCCCATCCACCTGTACCCACTCACCTTCCTGCCAACCCACCGTCTCACCCACCTATGTTCTCGATCTCTCTCTATCATCATCCCACCCTCTCATCCACCCACCCACCCTCTCACCCACCCACCCTCTTACCCACCCACCCACCCTCTCATCCACCCACCCACCCTCTCACCCACCCACCCACCCACTCACCCTCTCACCCACCCACCCTCTCACCCACCCGCCCACCCACCCTCTCACCCACCCACCCACCCTCTCATCCATCCACCCACCCACCCTCTCAACCCTCTCACCCACTCACCCTCTCACCCACCCACCCTCTCACCCACCCACCCACCCTCTCACCCACCCACCCACCCACCCACCCACCCCCCCCCCCCCCCCCCCCGTGCATCATTGTTGGCATCCTGTGGCACACGTGACAGGAACGCCAGCGTCTGCAGGAGCAGAACGAGGACCTGAGCGGACAAATCATCAGCACGAGTCTGCAGGGTGCCAAGAGCCTCTTGTCGGTGCCCACGCGCTCACAGGCGCTGGCGAGCAACCCTGACGGCGCCACTCACGAAGAGGCGAGCGAGCACCAGCGCAGTGCGCTGGCACAAGCACAGCGCACAATTGAATAGCTACACCAACATTCACAGCACCTTGATGGCACACACTCTGTTCCAAGCAGCAAACACGAAGGACAACGCCGGCCAATAGAGATTCAGCACCAAGGACAACGACCTCATATAAACACATTCCTGCGGAGGGAGCTGGTAGGAACGTTGGGTTGCTCGTTCAATGACCAGGGTCAACGGCGGCGTGGTGTATTCCGCAAATATGGCCGACTGTGAGGGCGGGCACAAGCCGGCGTGAGTAGGTTAAACGTTGAGTTTTATAAGGGCACCACGGGGTGACCAGCCCCTCCCCACCCAGCCCCTGCCCACCCTCCCCTCCCCACCCAGCCCCTCCCCTCTCCACCCAGTCCCACCCCTCCACATTTTTGGATGCACAGCGGACGGACGGACACAATAATCCCCTGTGGGCTGGTGTAACCAGGAGGTTTCTACCAGTAAGATTCAGCACCATGGACAATGCCATCCTATATAGATTCAGCACCAAGTACAGTGTCCTCCTATAGGCAGAAACAATAACAGCGCTCGCTTACAGAGATTCAGAACCATGGACAGCACTCGCTAACCGCATCATCTCCTTTCAGCCAAACATAACATCTTACAGGCGTATCTCGCTTGACGAGCGAGATGCTTTCCGAGAAAACTGATCGGTAAGCGAAAACTCGTTAAACGATTGTCGTTTGCCCATTAACTGCCTCATCATCCTGGCAATGATTGTAACTCGCCACCAAAGATCAGAGCATGACTAACCATGGTGATATGAAATGTAAGAACCTGAATGAAGACACAGACTAAGATAATTTCATCATTTTATTAGACACTACAGTACACTGAGGAAGACCAAAATTATAATTGCCTATATATACACACACACAATATATATACTGTACTGAATTTACCGATTGGCTGACCTGATACAACTTGTTGGTAAAATGTTGCATCTCACACACCAGTAATTACCAACTAAGAGCGTTCGACGACGAGACTAAGAGAATAACGACGTGAAATGCATAGACTCGGCCTCGACTGAAATTCCACAGGCCTTCGTCGACTAGACTGAGTCTGCGAGTAGATCAAAGCTCAGTTTAACACTAACTGATTACTAATGTAGCATAATCACAATAAAACACATTCCAAATGATTACTAATCTACAACTCGCATCGTAACAATAGCCTGATTACCAATCTAGTATATCATTACAATAACCCCCCCCTCAAATCTTTGCACCAGATGAGTTAATGAGTTAATGATGACGTCACCCTGCTGCTGCTCTATATAAGAACGGGAGACAGAGCAGAGCCTCACCATTCTGGCGAATTGCCCGATGATGCTGGATGCAATTACCAGCGACACGTCATACTCCAATTGTAAATGTTGTGGTTTCACGCTTCAACACACCGGTGGGCTAAAGCAGTGAACTATTTGTCTTTTGTCAACGTGACACTTTTTTACTGATTGGCCGTGTCGGGTGGTGGAGGGTTACGACACATTTATAAATAACGCGATCTAATCCCAAAAACGTTGATTATGAATAGATCAAAGCTGTCCCACCGCTCACGGTGAGATGCGCGGCTGTTACCCACCACCACCACCACCACCCCCGTCTCCCGCAGGTGGTGGCGGCACTGCACGAAGTCGAGGAGATCAACGACCAGCTGCGGCAGTACATGGACCGCGTCATCCTCGCCATCCTTGAGACCAACCCCTCCATCCTGGAGATCAAGCCCTGAGCGCGCGGCGCGCCGGGTGGCCACTCCGGCACCGCCGACCTGGAGTCGAACATGGGAGTCCGAGGTCACGACCGGCTCTTGTCGACGCACTCCGTCCGTGCGTCCCGTGCTGCGTGGCACGAGCTTGGAGTTTCGTGGGTGGCGGGGGGTGGCGGGGGGGGAGACGCGACGACTTTTAAAATGGGGGGCCGGGCGTTCCACCCGAGTGCAGTGATGACGTCTCCGCTCTGGGGAGTTGAGACCCAGGCGTGTGACGATTCGTGCATTGGAATCGATTCGCAAACTGACGTTCGTCCTCGTCGAAGCGTTCGTCCTCATTAATCGTTTGCTATTCACGCAAATTGTGCGTCTGCACTACCTGCCGATATTATGTGTGCTTTTATGGTGTGAACAAAACTTTAAAACCGAGAGGGAGCAAACCACAAACAATACAAATGAGAGAGGACCCTCCAGACAGAATGAATCCATCGTTGAATTGAACTGAATGGTACTTGCCGACTTACAATGTACGAAAGTGATATTACCGTGACGTTGAACGGAGCACCACGATGGTTCTCTTGATAGTAACTTTATAGTTTATTTTTTATCCAATTAAAACAAAGTTTCAATCCGCGTGTGGGACAGCCCTGGACGCGCAGCACAGGTGTCCATCCACAAGATCGGAGCGGTTTGTGTTTTGGGAAGGGAGGAGTTCGGGTGGGGTGGGGGAGGCTGCGTCTTCCCTTCAGCGCTGGAGGTAGCGACGGTCACTTTAACGTCACCGGTGCAATCCCCTGGAGTCGCGTGACGTCACGCGTGGCTCCCGTTGAGTGCCGACGGCATTCCCGGCGGCCGCGTGGACGATGGACGACCAACAGCGCGGCGAGACACCTGCGGCCTGGGCTGTCGGATGGGCGGCTCAAGCGGTCAAAACCAAGGCACCAGCCCGAAGCCCGAACCACGGACACCCAACGTTCAGGAACGTGAGCGAGCGGGCGGACTTGTGTTTGCGTTGGATGCGGCTGCTGCTGCTGCTGGTGCTTACAGGGATTGAGTCTCTTCCACTCCTCGACACTTGCGGTCGTGTCTGGAAGACCGACGCAAGATGCTGTATTTCGGTGGGGGGAGAGGGGGGGCGGCGAGCGGGGGGTGGGGGGAGAGTTGTACGTAAAAACTTTGCAGTGCGGTGCCCTGCATATTTTTCTCGCCGGTTCACCGACCCTCGTGGAAATGGAAGCGCGAATGAGATTAACGAGGTCGGTATGACGGCAAAATGAGTGGGGGCAAACAAGTAAATAAATATCAAATCACTCGCCAGTCATGTTAGGCTAATGCACTGCGTTACGGGTAGCTGTGCACTTCGGACACGTGGTTCAAGGAATGTACATTTTGTTTTTGTAAAATGTCGGGATTTTGTCGTTGCGGAATTGCAGATATTTTTAAAAGGGATCGTCTTGTGTGTGTGTGGGGGGGGCGTAGATGGACTACAAATGTGTTGGGGTGCACGACCCCCCCCCCCAATCCCACACCTACCCTTTCCATACCACTGAGCCCCCCTCCCCATCACCTTGAGACTCCAAAGGAGGGGGGTGGGGAGTCAGAATAAACCCGACACTTTCCACATTCGAGCCTGTGTTGAGTTTTCACTTGAGAGCAGTGGTTCTTGCCTTTTACTGCAGCCTTGCACCCCTTTGTTCCAATCGTAAAACAATTGTATAATGTTAATAAACACATCGGGGTTTGATTAAACAAAGTAGTTGTACTTACCTGCCCGTGCTTAATTTGTGTTTGTATGAATTACTTGCTGAAAAAAACCTGGCCATGTCTCGCACCCCCAAGGGGTTGCGTGCACCCCGGGTTAAGAAAGAACCGCTGCTTTAGGAGCTGCCTTATGAATGAAACTCCCCGTTCGTGCTGTCTCTGTGCGGTGGCCAGCAGAGGGCAGCACGGCAAGTGGGCTCTGTGTGCACCTTCGGGAGTTGTTATCCGCCCCCCCCCCCCTGTGTGGGCGGTGCCTTTTCTCGGCGTGCTCCGCGTTTCCTTCCACACGAAGCAAAACCACTCGCGAAAAACAACGCAATGCAGGAAAAGCACCACCCACCACTACCACCCCCCCAACACCCCCCACCGCCCCCCACCCACCACCCCCCCAAGACCCCCCACCCCACCACCACCCGCCACCAACCACCCACCACCCAACCCCCATCCCCACCACCCACCATCCCCCCCCCAACACCCACCATCCCCCCAACACCCCCCACCCACCGCTCCCCCACCCCCCCCCCAATCCGATGAGCTATAAAGCTCTTTTTCACAGATGTCCAGCAGGGGCACGTCACCACATTTGTCAATAGCACTGTGGTCTTAAAATGGGAAAAATATATATACGAGGCGACGTTTATGGCAATGGTTTACAGCAGAAAGAGAAAGGTGAGTATATTCCTCATTCTGGCCTCACTTCTTTGGCCTCGACTATATTCTACGAAAAAGGGCTATGCCCGAAACGTCGCTTTTTATATTTTTTGGCAGTGTTATCGATGCATGTGATGAAGTTTTTTTGTCTTATTTAGCAGAGTCACCTGGGTTACGAAAATGTCAAAATCAAAGCAAGCAAAATAAAGGGCAGCATTGAAGCGAGTAGACATCGGGACAAACACAACTCCACCAACATCAATCGATGTGAAATCGTAGCCTCCCCTTGGCGTAAGTCGCCTCGGGCAGAATGTTGAGCGTGGAGAGACCGGGTGCCGAGGTGACGCTAGCAGAGTAGTCGGGCGCGAGGTTTGGTTTTGGCGGACGGTCAGACCGACAGAGTTGGAAGTTGAAGGATGGTGGGAAGTCTTCTTGGTTCTTTTGGTAAAGTCACGTAGAAGGGAAATAATAAAATAATAAAAATCAAACATAATAAAATACAATTCTCACGACGTTTCGGCCACAACGCAAGCAGCCGTCCTCAGGTGAAGAACAGGGCTGTCGGAAAGACAGCCCTGGTGAGAAGGTTCGGGTAGAGAATGATCAAAAGAGGTGAACCTCTCGGAATGTAAGATGGAGAATCAGAGGCGTAGTAACTATATTATCAACTCGGGGGTGGGGGGGGGCGGTAATTGGTCAGGTTGGGCCACAACATTTAATTTGTCTCGCACGGTCGCACCTTGGGGGGGGGGGGGGGGGAAGGCATCCCCAGTCCCCACACCAGTTACGCGACTGCAGAGACTGCAACCTGCGGTCAGAGACGTGGCAGAAATCCCACCGATTGTCGTGGTCCCCGGCCGCCGGTGGGCCAGACGGCTTCAAAGAGCGGCGCTCACGAGGAGGGGTGGAGGGTGGAGGGACATTTGTTGACGTCAGTGGTAGTGGAACAGCTGGAATACAATTGTGGGTGGGGAGGGGGGGGGAGAACAAAATAATATACCCCCCCCACGCCCAGCCCTTCCCCTACACCAGGGGTTGCCAAGCAAAATAACAACAAGATACTTTTTTTTCGGATTCCTTTTCCGGGGTGGGGGGGATGCGAGACAAGGCGAGGTTTTGTTCAGCAGGTAAATCATCGAAACACAAACTTAGCACGGGCACGTAAGTACAACAACTACTTTTATTTTTCGATTTAAAGCTTTCGTGATTGCAGGGATTCATCTTCTTGGTTCTTTCGGTAAAGTCACGTAGAATGGAGATAATCAAATAATAAAGTAAACTTTTAATTATTTATTAAAACATAATAATTTAATCATGTTTTATTTTTTATAAAAATTTAACATTATAATTGTATTATGTTTTATTATTATTTTATTATCTCCATTCTACGTGACTTTACCGAAAGAACCAAAGAACCAAGAAGAACAACAAACTCCTATGTATGTATTAATATTATAGAAATGTGTTTACGATTGTGAACCAAAGGGGTGCAGCGCTGCAGTAAAAGTTAAGAGCCGCAATGCGTGTGAATACGAGACGATGCTTTCTAAGTAACGTCACGAAGCAGTCATTAAAGAGCCGCATGCGGCTCCCGCAGGCGCATGTTTGCTGATCCCTGCCCTCCACTGATCCCTTCCCTCCACTGATCCCGCTCAGAGGTTGCAGACCGCCAGAGTGATTACACGCAGGGTGCCTTTTTAAATCCTTTATATTAAGTTCACTTGCTTGCGTGCTTGCTTGCTTGCTTACGACCGTGCAAATCTTTCGGTCGTTTTTTAACCCACTTCCCGTGATCCAATCGAGCTGACATTTTGCACACAGACTCGTTGTGCGTGACAATTAATTTTCGTGAAAATTTTTTTTTCCAAAATGTTACACTGTTTAAGGAAAAAATATTAAATATTTAATTACCAATTGCTTAATGCTGCCAGACAATCATCTGACCCATAGGTGGCAGCCATCTCAAGCCAGAGGACGAGAGGACTCTAGCCGCCACGCATATAAAGGATTTATAGTGAAAAACTTTGTTTTTACGGGTTATACTTATTTTATTCCTTTTGATGTTACAAAGCAGTGACCGAGGTCGCACAGAGGGTTGGGGACTGCAGCGTTTAAAAGAGATTCGCACAACAACAGTGCTCCGATATACAACGGCAGTCTTCCCCATTCACCTGCTGCCTATGTGTGTGTGTGGTGGTGGTTATCTCTGTGGGGAGCAGTGGCGCAGTGGTTAGCACGACGCGCTACGAACACGGTCATCCGATGCTCGCTCACGGCCAACACCGGTAATGATTATTATCTGACCCGGTCCTGGGCCTCCCCAAGGTCGACGCAGCATCAAATGAGTACCTGGTGCGGTGTGTAAATATCGCTACTAGAGAGACAAAGGCGGCCGGGCGTGGTGCTGGCCGCCCACCCCCCTCGTGTGCCGTGCTGGCTCGCTAACAGCACTCGCCCCAGCAGTCTGTTAAGGCTATACGGGGGATCTTTGTCTATAGTGTTGGGTATGTACGCGACTGCCAACGCAGAATCACCCAATGATGAATTTCTTTGTACGGTATTGTGGAGGATTTCCCAAGAAAACATCAATATTTAAAGATGTCTTTCCGACAGCTCTGTTTCTTCACCTGAGGACGGCTGCTTGTGTTGTGGCCGAAACGTCGTGAGAATTTTAAATGTTTTTACATTTATTATTTTATTATTTCCCTTCTACGTGACTTTACCGAAAGAACCAAGAAGATGTATAGCTATTTAATAAGTGATTTAGAATATGCTTAACCTGTAATAACGTTTGCTTTAGGGGGAACGGTAGCGCAGCGGTTTGCTGACTGCGCTACGAACCTGGCTTATGACCTATGAACTCACTCCACTACCACGAATGCGTTGTGCAGTTTTTGCTATTTGTGCTTGTGCACCACTGCCGACGTAGTTTCACCAAATAATAACTTTTGTAGTGTTCTCTCGGTACATTTTTTTGAATGGCAGTTTTAAAATGTTCTACGGTACTTTTTTTCAATCATTCAGTTATTCTGGTCGTGGAAAATATATACACGCCATGAAAACAACAACCGCCATTCGCCACTGAGTGTCTATGACGTAGCCACCACGGCACTTGTGCCAGGCTATGTGCACGTTAAGGTCACGTGCGGTAAGGGACCCCCCCCCCCCCATACCTCCTGCATTTTGTCACTTCGAGAGCTCGACTCGCTCATCAGCATGGATGAAAAAACGGGGGCCCATTTTATATTGTCCATGTCCTGTTGGTGATCTGTGTCTCACGCCTGACACTGTTCGCTGTGTGTAACGCTGGGTAGGGCTACGTGGATCCGAGTGACGTCACAAATCAGTAGACTTTCTTGCACCACGCCGCTAACACCATCTGGGAATGGCCACCTCATACATTGGTTTTGAAAAAAAGGAACCATTGTAATCGCCGATTCGAAATCTCAACCCCCTCAAAAACAATGATTTTGCAATGGTACACAGTGTGGTAATTCGTGAAATGCACCGTGATTTTTGTTGTGGCTGAAATCATTTCAGAATCCATTCGTGGAGAATGTCTTCATTCCCAGAATTGATCTGGCACCGTCTGATGTGAATTTATCATTTATTTTGACGCAAAGACAGTTTCCAATCATTCCTGCATTTGCTATCGCTGTAAATAAGTCGCAAGGACAAACATTTTGAGCGTGTTGGCCTTTATCTTAACGAACCTGTTTTTATTTCCATGGACAACCTTATTTTGTTTCTTTGTCAAGATGCAAAAATCCAATCAACATCAAAGTGCCGATTCAACAAACTTCCTCTCAAGGAAAACGTTTGGGAGATGATTATCAATTTAGAGCCAATGTGATGTATTGGGGGATTTTTTAATTCAATAAATTCAACACAATCTTTAAATTTGCGTCTTTTTTATTACATGAAATTTCTATGAATCCGTCAAATTACAGACAATTACACCGGTAATCCAATAACGCTGCACTGTTTAGTTTTATATGTTGCTTTGTCGTTCGTGTAAATTACGTCTCGCATTCGCTCAGGAACCACCGACGGACCGGAAGCCAGCAGCCATGCGGTGAGCAGGCGCGACCAACGATTGCCCGAGCTCCGCAGTCCTCTACATATCAAGATGTTTTCAGCCAATTAATGAGTGTTTATACATAGTAATATGTTTTTACCCTTTCAACTGGTACAAAAACTGACACATTTATACAAGGCATCATGTTTGCAATAACCACAACACAAGCAGTCAAAATGCAAACAAAAAGAAACAAAAGAAACAACTCTGATAATGATATGCACTGTCCTTGAAGTTGTGGAGTGTTTATACATATTGGGAGCAAGCCGGAGTAA